TGCATTAAGTCGTGTGTTATTAAGAGGACGTCACACCCGCATATTGTGTTGTCTCCGTCTTACAAATGTACAATGTAGCAAAAGCCAATAACTGTTTAGCTCGGGGCAACTTTTCTCGCACCATATTTGCTGTAGAACTTCCAAATTTTAACTAGAAGAACTTTCTGTTCAACTGCGTGCTTTTTTTTTCTAGCATTATCCAATAATTTTTTTGAAGCAAATGAAAAAAACAAAAAAATGAAATATTTAGAAGCAAATAACTTTTATTGTATTTATGTTATCTGAAATATAGGCATTGATAATTTTCTACCCTATATGTTCAGAAATTTTGGAGCCACCACTACAAAGAAAGAAAGATAAAAGTTGTCCCTCGCAAAATAGTTTTTGCTATGTTGTAAGACGGAGACAACACATGCGGGTGTGACGTCCTCTTAATAATAAATCAATATTTTGTATTGCAGATTATAATATTAAAGATATAAAAAAAAAATGATTATGATTTTATTTTTTTTTATTTAGACTAAAACCAACATGGCTAACACAGTTTAGTTTGATTTCGAATAGATCTATCAAATGCTTTGTAAGAAATTACAAGAATAATCTAATGGAACTGGGAACTATTTGGGTAATTACTATAAATTGAATAATGTTTTAATTAATATTACATTTTTAAAAACATTTGTTTAATATTTGTTTAACTGTGTATTAATGTTTTAAACATAGGTAATTAAAATAATGTTTTATATTATATTATAATATTATATTGTTTAAAAATGTCATAATTTTGTGAGAAGAAATTAGATTGATAAATTCATAGAAAAAATGTAATTTCTTTAAAAAATAAAATTTCAAATTTTTTTCTAAATATTTAATTAGGAAAATTCTATATTTCTTTGATATTCATTTGAAAATGATTTAAAACTTCTTCTGGTTCTACATAAATATTTCTATGTACATTGAGTGCATATATTTTCTTTGCAAGAATTAAAAATAAAAGTTTTGCGTAAAGCCATAGTATAATATTATAATACTTTGGAAATTAAATTTTGATATAATTGGATATTTATAAGAAATATAATGATTTTATAATTCGAATAAAAGAAAAATGGTGATGAATATCTCTGTATGTAGGTAACCAACATAATATCAAATAATAATATCATTATGTAAAAACAAATATAAAATTGATTTTCATTCGATATATTTTGTTTGGACACAATTCGAACCTACCATCGATAACCTACAAATGCCTCTACTATGTGACAATATTTTTATTATTTTTTGGACGCATCCATTTAAAATATTATATAATATATAGAATTTATAATTTGCTAAAACTTACTTAGGATATATTTTATCAGACATAAAAGTGAAAACACTAAAGCATAGTTATTTATAGATTTCAAATTTATGATTACAAATAGATGAATATTTTTATAAATAATTCCCGAGCAGAAACTAAATTTTATATAGATAAAGTGCAAGGAGCATTAAATAAAAGTCCGCGGAGATGACTATGAGAATGTTAGTAATAAATTAGTCTAGTTTAGGTTTTTCAGTATTTGTACAATTTTATTTTATTATACATATTACATAGGTAACCTAACTATATTATTTTCTCATACATGTTTGATACATTTTTTTTAGTATTTATTATGTTTATAGTTTTTAGGTATCATTATTTCTGCTCCATTTTCGAATCTGAAGATGGATACCAAAGCAGTACAAAATTGGGAAGGTTTTTGGTTAATATTTGTCATTAACTTTGTGTTCCACTTCAGTTATTCCGCTATTGCAACATACCAAGTAAAATTTTCAATTGTCCACCGAGAAGTTCACAATAAAGTATATCCATTGAGTGTATATTACATGTCTGAATTGTTGATAGTGGTATGCAACGTGATAAATGTGCATTCATTACATAAGAATACAATTATAATAATATTTATTTTATAGGTTGTGTGGATCATGGTAAAAATTCTATTTTACTGTTTATCTGCGTTTTGGATTGTTGGTGCTGATTGGGGTAGCATGCAATTATTGGTGTTTTATTTATTAGCATTTACAGCCTTTTCATATGGTAATTATACGCTTGAATTATCAATACATTTTAATAAAAAAATAAAAAAATGATACAAACTGTTAATAGTCAGATATTTTCACACATACGTGAATGTGGGTGTAGGTACCGTCAATTTATCGTAAGCAATTGATCGCGCGACAATTGACCGCAAACAATAATTGATCGCAATTACAATTTACCGCAAGGCAATTGATCGCAAAAATAGCTATAACCTTTTCATGGTTATTTTAAGGCGAAGAGGATTTTTGCAACATTATTCGATCGTTAACGATCAAGCCTTATCTAACATTAAACTCGTACCCTATTTTATCAGAATTTTTCTCGAACAGTGGTATAGATCACTACTATGTACCATCAGTATTCAGTACTGACACAATCGTCAATCGGTATACTAATAACTTCGCGCAGCTGAAGTACTGTACATAGAATATGGCTTTAGAGTACGTATTAAGCGAAAAAAATAAGTACAATATGCCTTATAATGGTTTTTTACACGTAAAAGAACGAAAACATGAAATTAAAATATGCTGGAAATACAAAAAAATTCACTGTAATAGTGGTGCACACGTAGTAAACGACAAAGTCACTAAATGTATTGAAGTATTGAACATAACAATCACCTACAGAAAACTTATCGAAATGATCCTGAGTTTTCATTACGAATTCGAATGCTACCAGCATTAGATTTTATTCCAGAAGCAGATGTAATAAAATGTTATAATGTATTACTAGCTACCTACAAGTTATTACACAGATAATGAAGATCTAGTGGCTCCGTTGTTGGATTATTTCAAAAATACATGTGTAGGAAAATTAGATAGGAGAGGAAAAAGAAAACCGCCAAAGTATGCGATCACATTATGGAACTATTTTTCGAGAGTAATTTAAGATTAATATAGACAAATAATGCTATAGAAGGGTAGCACAATTGTTTCACATCACTAATAAATGGTATGCATCCTTCAATTTGGCGATTTATAGATGCATTAAAAAAAGAAGAGAGCATTAACAGATAGAAAATCGAACAATATGTAGGGGGCAACTAGCCCCCCCCCCCCCAAAAAAAAAATTTACTGAGATAGAGCAGCTAAAATAAAAAAATATGTATCAATTTTAACAATAATCCAAATATTGAAGATTTTCTTCGTAGAATTGCATACAATTTTCAATTGTAAGTTTAATTTTTAATGTTTTTCATTTTAATATACCTACCTTGATGATTAATTATTTTTTTTTTATATTCAATTAAGTGTACAAATATTCTCTATTTATATAAAAAAATATTGCACATTTTAATTATAAATTTTAAGTTTAATTTGTTTTAATTTAATATAACTACTAACAATTTTTAAACATTTTTAATCTAAGACGAAAAATATATTTTTAAGCATGCATGTAACCAGAGTTGTGCCAAATTCATTCAAATTAAATATGTATTCAAATTAAAAATTATTACTGAAAATGTTATTTTGCGATCAATTGCTGTGCGGTAAATTTTATTTGCGACCAATTGGCTTGCGATCAATAATTTTCGGTAAATTGTCGTGCGGTAAATTGTTGACGATCAATTGACGTGTACCCGTGAATGTGAATATAAAAAAATAATTAAATAATTGTGCCACTAATTGAAGTATAAATTACTAACAATAAGTATTTATAATAGTAATAAAAAAATATATTCTACTACTTATAAGGTATCAATAATTATTATGTTGATATTACTGTTATTGCAGGAAGTTTTTTGTCAGCCTATTTTGTTCGTCTAGAAAACACTATGATATTTGCAACAATATACGATTTCCTGACATTGCCTCTCAGTGGTGCTTATCTATCATTTATGTAAGTTGTTTCCCAGCTGATAATATTTACTTAAAGCTAATATATATTTAAACTCAAAATTAGGTCTTTACCAAAAGCGGTTTATTCTCTAAGATTTTTTTCGATATTCTTCCTTGGTTGTGAAATAGTTTCAGTTTTATTTTGGGACAGAATTAAAGTTTTACGTGAGTATATTTAATTGATAATTTAGGATTCAGGTTTAAGTAACATCTTCTCAATACTAATTTTTTTGTATTTTGTAGCATGTGTTGATGTTTCTAATTGTTTGGATAGCGGGAAAGCAGTGTTAAGAAAATATGGCTATATAAGTAGTGAAATATATTCAGACATGGTGATATTAGTTATATTTAGCCTTTTAGCAAATATATTAGGTTACTTTAGTGTTCTTAAAAAAATGAAAAAGCAACCAGCCTATTAAAATGTAAATGTTTTCATTTATAGAACAAATATATATAAATATATGAATGTAATTAACTATACATACTATGTAATATCAAATAAAATATTTTATACAATTATTAAACATTTATAAGAATTATTATACTTTCATCATCTAAATAATTTGTAGTTGTATAATATATTCGATATTACTCAAATGTAGTTAATAAATGGAACCATGCTTAATTTTGTAAAAACGTGTCGAGTATAGATTATAGTTTATTAAAAAATTATTTTATCTAACTCGGAAGTAATATAAAATTTTTTTATCGGTTTTCTGATTCCAACTTTTAACTGAAATAACTAATATGTATTAACTAGATATAATTTAATAAAGGTAAGTATAGTATATGCGATCGTACATCATTATCATCTACCAATAATCATATAAATTGTGTTTAATAAATAAAGATCATTGCATTATCATCAAGTCAAATTTATTGTAGATTTTATAGTTTTGTGTTTTTTCCAATTATTTAGGAAATTATGCACGGGAAGTTTCGTGCATCAGGGAGTCTTTATTTTTCTGCAGAATAATAAATAATTGTATATTAGACATTGATTCTATAATAGACAATATAGTTATTGTTTACGTACGAAAAATATTTAAAATTAGATAGTTAGAATTTAGAAAAGTTCTTCAATCAGTCGTTTCGGTGGGTAATGCATCTTGTAATCTTTTATTTTCTTCCGAAAGTATTGAAAACTTTTCGTCATACTTAACTCGCATATTTTCAAAACGTTCCGATTGTTGTTTATATTCAGATCTCAGTTCGTCGTTTAATCTGAAAATCATATTTTTTTCTCATAAGAATACACATAATATAAATATATCTTATTTTGCTGTTGAGACATATGTGATATGTGTTTTTAATTCAGATAGTAGGTATTTCAGTATTTTATGTTTATTGAATTTTCTAATAAAGATAAATGCTATTTTGTTATTGACGTGTGCTAAAAGTAAGCTACATTTTTAATGTAAGTCAAAAAAATATGTTATATTTTTAAGGGCGCTGTGACAGTGTTTTTAAATTTATGTTGTATATGACATATTATACAGTATACACCAAACTCTTACGTAAAGCTATACATTATACAAGCATGTATTATTAATTAGTATGTTGTAAAAATGAATGAATTTAAGCATAATATATGTTGATAAAAATGTTTATAAAAAATTTTAGATTTTCGTGTACCTATGTTTACTATATTATATTATATTAATAACATTTTTAAAAGTGTTTAAATCTAAGTCTATTACTTATACACCTACCCATGGAAAATTAATAAATAATTGTTTATGCAATAACTTATGGACTTATTAAAAGAGTTCAAAAGCAAACGGAAGAAGAAACATTGAATGGTAATGTAATTTATTTTTGATGCAATACTTTAATGTACTCGTTGTTATTATTTTCAGTATATACTTACTTCGCAGCTAAATTCATTTTTTCAATTATTGCACTGTGACGACTTCTCTCCGCGTTGATTTTTCCTTGAAGGCTTTCCAAATCTTCCGTCATACGATTCACTTCTGTGTTACGAATAGCCAACATGTGCTTTGTGATGTCCACGACTTCTTTCAATGAACTCGTCTGCAAAAAGAAAAACGTAAGACATAATTACTTAGTTTATTATTACCTAATAATATACCGGATGTCTCACCGCATCCCCATCAGTGAATTTTTTTAAATATAGCTTATGGAAAATTATAACTGTATTACAGAATCAAAATTATTACATTTCATAGAATATATTGGTTTATTAAACAAGAAAAAATTGGTTTTTGTGTTTCTCGAAAATTGAGATAGTCAATTCATATAGATAGTTAATAATTTATGTAAATGATTGAATAGTTGAATTACTAATTTCCATTAGGTCATTACAACAGTTAAGTACATTTTTGAGTTGGAAGTGGGTAGACCGTAGACAAAGTAGGTAAATGAATGGGTGTGTACGAGGACAAATACTAAATTATATATTTATATAAATTATAATATTTATCTGTACAATTAATTTATAGTATTTGGTTAAAAGCACACAAACTTGTAACGTGAGCGCTTCAATGTGTTTTTCTTGTGTGACGCATCGGTCGGATTTTTCTTTTAACAAGTCAATCACTTTAACTAAAAATTTCTGTAGATTTCTGTTCTGTTTTCTCAAATCTTCAGGTGACAAATCAGACACGTCGCGTAGCACTTCGCCCATGTCTCCCATATCCTATAACACAATTACCACAGTTGTATTACAGAAAATATAAATAATTAGGTATTGAATTGAAAAAATGTATTGTACCTGCACGCTCAATGAGATATTGTGATAAGTATCATAGAAGCGTATAGGAGAAACACAAATACGATTAATTACAAAATCGATAAAACGTCAGATGATGAGAAATTATACATATTTTTAAAATTATTTTAATTCAAGACATATTAGAAAATTTACGGGTCCTAATAATTAGCTAGTCTGATTCAGGTTAAAGAGCTTCAATATAATTTAATGTAGATAAAGTAGGTGTATGGGCACATGGTAGGTACATTATTTGCTTGGTTAAAAATTCGTTAATTTTTTTAAATTGCATATTTTAGTTGTGCTGTGTATTTATTTTAATGAAAAAAACTGTCTAAGATCTAATAAATATTCTAAGATCGATGATTCGATTTAAAATTTAGAATTCTAAAGCTTTGAAATTGCGTATACTTTTATTATTATGCTCATGGTTATAATATATATTATTAATAATTGATCATACCTTAACGGATCCGTGGTTAGGTGCGTCCATAATATTATTTGACGAACACGATTACACGCACAACTATATTGAATTAGTAATATTAATGCAGTTAACTATCTTACTCGACTATGAATAAAGTATGTGTGTTAAACGAAAGCCGAAAAATCAAAATATGTCATATGTTTTAGAACAGCCAGTTCCATGATCCACATTCGTTGGCTTGGAATGTTGCCAATCGATTGGTTTAAAAATAACTTCTAGTCAAGGGCCCGCCTTGTGGTATTGTTAGCAAAAACGTCAAAACGACCTCAGGAATGATACAATATTTTAATCATTTGGTTTATAATAATAAAAATATAAATATCGCGGAAGTAATGCAGTTGTCACTGTCCAAATAAGATAGATACAATATAACGGATTTATTAAATTTATAACATGTATAATATTTCAATATTTCAATATTTTAAATCATCATATTATTTTCATTTTAAAACTGTAATTATTTGCATCACCAAAATAATGTATTATTTTCAGTTCATAACCTTAATTTTTTCAAAATCTACAATACTGAAATTGAAATACACAATTTTGACTGAGTCAAACAGTTACTGTTACTGCAATATCACGTCACCATAAAGTTATATGGATTGTTCAGAAGAGAAAAACTAATAACAAAAATCGATTCCGAGAAATAATGGTATTTTTTCTTTCCTCAGATTAATAAATAAGTTTTTTTATAGTTTTAAAACTATAAAACTCTTATTTTTAGAATAAATAAATAATATTATGTATGGGCTATTAGCCATGGGGGATGACAGGATACATAATAAAAATAAAAGTTATTGTAAAATTGTGGTAGGTATGATTTTACTATGTATAGATACGTCTAATTTATATTGATACCTATTATATTGTCTATACCTCATACTACTATAAATTATAATACAATATATACATTAAAACAAAATTACCTCCCTGCAATGACATAGGCACCTAATAATAATTTATGATCAGTTAATATAATTACGTTTTGATATAAACAACCTTTAATTTTTTTCATCGATTGCTGCAAAATAATATTTAACAAATACAAAATGTTCTAAAAAATTAAAAATAACACTTGAACTGTATATAATTTTTTTTGCTTAGTATAAGTCATTTATGCCCTTTGTCACAACTACCACTCTTCTCCATCAATTTCCGCTAACATCATAAAATATTCACCATTATTCACTCCTATATACCATATTATTAATATATTTTTAACTCTACTCACTCATAACTGCAGTGTTGGACAGCATAGTTGTCTTTTTGTCCACGGTATCCATTTTGTGGCTTCTGTGATTATTTGCCTTGTACTCGCCAATCGCCATACTTGCCTAGATTTTTCTTCAGCTTCGGAAAAAATGGGATAATTAGGTATTTATTGGAATTAAATTAATTCGTTTTTTATATCTTCTGAGCTAATATAATCTGCAACTATATGTTGTGATGCAATGAAAATCAAGATTTGCCAATATTACAAAATTGAAAAAATTACAAAGAATGCGAAAAATATAAAAAAAATATGCTTATATAAAAAAAAATGTTTAGATTATAAAATGATTATTTCACATCAATGTATTTTTATCAATGGTTCTATAAAAATGGCATGCCTTTAAACATTAACAAATGAAATACTCTATTGTATATTTTTCATTAAGAATACAACCTTTTATTTTAATTAATCTATAAATAAACTTAGTTTATCTCATAATAATATCACCAAAGACTTAGGAGTGATATTTGATTCAAAATTTACTTTTAATAAGCATGTAGATTATATTCAAAATAAATCATTTATGAAATTAGGTACTTATTTAAAAACGTCATATATGCAATGTGTGCAAAATTTTGTGTTATAACACAAAACTGCTCACGCGCACAACTGTCATGTGACAATCTATCGTAATCAGACCATACATTTGTTAAGATTAAACGTTTTGGAGTTTTTAAATTATTTCTAAATTAGTTCTAAATTTTAACAGTGGCACACAGGACCTAACCTGGTAAGTGCCTAGGATTTTAGCGCTTTCGTACGATACGATTTTGGCAATTGAGTACGATACTGGTTTTTTTTTCTTATCTAATTTTGTCTTCCGCTGAATCCAATTACCTCCAGAAATAAACCCATATTTTATCTGTAAATTGTTGACACTAAATATATGTTATATTACCCTGCTAACATTTTAATGTCTGCAGGTAATACTATAATACATTTTGATTTGTTCCCTTGGGAGTTTCTAGTTATTTAAATAATATTTACTAAATTTTAATTGTATACAATTTTTACTTAAATGGGCACATATATGTTACTTAATATTATACTATATTTTACTTTATTTAATTTAAAAAAAATAGTACATGTACATTTGCACTCTACAATCACTAAATTTCACAAAACATTTGTAATTGTAATTTAGGTATTCCGTTAAACAATTTTTTTATTAATATTATTATTTAAACGAAAATTAAAGATTTTAGTTATTTTATTGTTGCATTTTAAAAATTTCTGTTAATTTTAGGACAAGTTTATATGACTGAATTTGCCATTTGGCATGCGAAATCAACTGTGATCGAAAAAAAAACATAAAATCACAAAGATTTCTATAAAACTCAGTCAATGATTACTAAATTACTTAAGTTTGTTTTCAATTTCTTTTGGACCATAAATTTACTTTTTAGTCTAAAAATATATATTTATTGCCATAGATAATCGCCTAAATGTATAAAATTAATGAGCGCTCAATCAATCCAATCTTCCTTACAACACACCCGAGTTAATATAATGTACCTATTTTGCCTATACTATACGCCGGGAAACACATTAGGTCTGCGTGAAGTATTTAAAGCTTAAATACTAAAACAATACAGTGGCGGTGCCAGGGGTGGGCCCGAGCCCACTCAACAATTTAAATTTAAAATAAATTATAATCTGCTAAGCTATCTCATGGTTTATTGCTGAATGTGATAACAATAGAAGAATATTGTTAAAATAAATTGTATACCTATTTATATTATTATAAAAATATGTTATTTTTAACAGTTTTATATTTTAAACATTTTATTTATATTGTTTTTTAAAAAAAAATAATACTCATTGCGAGAGTTGTTAGATTTGTAGTTATATTTTATATCTTATAATAGCTATAATCAATTATATTATAATTGATGCCTAGTGGTATGGTTAGTATTTGGTGGAGAATGCCACTCATGGTCGTGCGCAGGATTTCTTCAACGAGGAAAAAATAAATGTATAAGATGAATACGCCATAAATTATAAATGAATAGCATTATATTTACATTAATTGTTTAAGTAGGTACACAAAAATTGTTTACAATAATAGATGTTTTATTAAAAAAATAAATACTATTGATGCATGTTTACAAATCATGGTTTTAGTAAGTTTATGCGACAAAGTATAAAAAAAAAAAAGCGGGTAAGTGGATGTTGCTCTGCTGTACAGTAGGTTACAAGTGAGTCAATGTATAATGGATTGTATTAAACTTGAATTTATTGATATAATAATATAATTGTATAAAAAAAACGATTTTGAGCGGAGACAGTTTGTCAGTCTCAATTTTAGATTCTGAGCGGAGCGAGGAAGCTAGTGGTTTCGTAATGGTGTTTATTTATTTTTTTTATCTTGTATACAAAATGTCTACCAGAAGGAGTGCTTTGATTTCATTTTTTGATTTTCTCAATAGTTATTTGATGCCACAGGAAAAACTACCGACAAATTACGAAAAACCGATAAAAATGTGATTATAATTTCTAACGCTTTGTTTATCACCGTAGCAACGAATAAAAAATAATGATATTAATTCAACTTACATTATATAGTAAATACTAACAATATAAAATATCCTGACTGACAAACCGTCTCCGCTCAGAATCGTTTTTCTTATACAATTATATTATATCATTGAATTCAAGTTTAATACAATCCATTATACATTGATCAACTTGTAACCTACTGTACAGCAGAGCAGCATCCACTAACCCGCTTTTTAGTGATTATTCGTAATTTGTCGGTTGAGTACCCACCTGACTTGACTGTACCTTTTGACTGCAGAGGGCCCCTTGCCGGACTCCCAATTTGTTTTTTCATTAATTATTAAGCTCTAGCCTCTATTTATATACGGCCATTCGTGTTCTCCTCTCAATTTTTTTTTATTCATTTATTAAATTAGTGTTAATTTTGAAAATAAATGAAATCGATAATTTTTATATTAATAAATTAGTTTAAAATGTCAATATAAATACGCTTTAAGTTCCTGTGTGATCCGGGCCAAAATGGATGCCACCAAATTCTTTCAACGCTTAAACATTTAAGGCAACTAACATGTCCCATTTCAATGCAAAAGTTATGTTTAATCATTTATAGTATACCTAGTTATTATTAGTTATTGCAGATAGATACATTGTGAAAAAACTTAAACAATAAATATTATCATATTCGAGTACAATTATTTGTATATTACATATTTTTGCACAATTATTGTCATAATAGCCATTAAAACTATATTCTATACATCAGTGCGTATCACAGTCATGGAACATTCATTTTTACCTTACACATCCCCCGTCTCTGTTCTCTTCACTTTAACCAGCCAATGAGAAGGATTCTTAGTTTGAAATACTTTGAGTGGATTTCTAACAGCAATATACCAAATTATTCCAATGATGGTGCATAAAAGCATTTCTATGTAATAACCATTCACTGTTATGATACAATCACCTTTATCTGCTTTACACATCTAAATAAGTAACATAATACATATTATCATATAAGTTACTTAATAAAAATAATAATAATAAATTCAAAATCGAGTCTTAATTGTTATCAATCATAAAAAAAGAATTTTATAAAATGTAAATTAAAATGTTTTTATCTAAATATGAAATATGAAATGAATATTTCAATAAATATAGTTAAATAATATGCTCATTCTATATAAATTTTTATTTTAGATTCTGAGGTGGGCGAAAAGCCGAAACCGAAGAATGTATTGATTTTATAATGATTTTCAACTTAGTAGCGTACTTAGTTTTCTAACTAAATTCCCAGTACTTTTCTTAATAATTGTGAAAAAAAACCTTTGTTCGATAAAATAGATTTTCTTATTTTGTTGTAATTCAAAACGAATGACCATTTATTCTAGTTCACCAAATGTCTGAGTCAAATTAATATAAATAAAATAACACTCGGCTAAATATTATTCTATCAGATATTTTTGCAAATAACTAGTAATTGGTATAAACAAATAATGTAGTATGTTCTCAATTTTATAAAATAATATAATATAATAATTAAAATTGTATAATATCTTACATCTCGAAGTTCTAGTGTAGAACAATTATTTTTAGAATCCAATGAACATTCTTCGAACGTCAACACGTCAATCATTCCAAGCGCAACGGTAGACGTCCACATGTATCCTAAATTTGCAAGAGTATTCAATAACGTCATGTATGTACAACCAAAACGAGGATCACTTATCCGAGCAAAAAAAGCTATTACAGCTATAAACATTGTGTGAGATAAAATCTATAAATGATACACATAAAGATTATTAATTGAATTACCTTAACTAATTTTAATAAATATTAATAAAAATAAATAAACGCTAACAGTATTTCTAGCAACTAAATACCGCAATACCATTTCTTCAACTCCAGTCATAAAACTTAGGTATCTTCTATTTAGATACTTAATCTTCTATTTAAGGCCCGCACACACTGCCGCGATGGCGATAAATTGTGTAGGGCTGAATTTTATCGCTACTACTATACCGACCTTGCTGCAGTGTGTGCGCCCTGCAGACCTTCTAGAAGGTAAGTAATCATGTAACATTTAAATTATAAATACCTATACTGAAGTAAGTAACTCACTTGATCTATTGATAACAGACATACGAGAAGTGGATAGTAATATACTGAGGTATTTTCTCCATCAAGCGTTATCAATTTGGGCGTATAATAAATTTGCATAACAAAGCCAATGTTCAAAAGTAATCTAAAATATGGATTTCAAAAGTATGTAATTATAAACTAAATCTCTACATAAAATAAATATACTAATATTAATATTAAGCGTTGTTTAAATTATTCTGAGTGGGTTTTAAAAGTTAGATGCGTGCGTGTGCCTATATGCCCTTAAAAATGTTTTTATTTTACTGGATAGCATTGTAAAGTAAATAATAACAATATAAAATATCCAGACTGACAGACCGTCTCCGCTCAGAATCGTTTTTCTTATACAATGATATTATATCAATGAATTCAAGTTTAATACAATCCATTATAAAGTGACCAACTTGTAACCTACTGTACAGCAGAGTGCATCCACTTGCCCACTTTTGTTATATGTAATGTGAATAAGTAAATTACCTATTGCAACTAGTTCTTTAATTTTAATTTGTTATATCTACCTGATGGGTATAACTTTCAAGTATACGCTCATCGGTTTTGGACCTGAAGTGTATTTTCCTATAATGAATGGTAGAATAAAGTTTACTCCAGACATCACTGAATCTATTATCGATATGTCTTCTTTTGATATACCTGCGTCAATAAGTTTTAAGATAGACACATTGCCAGTTGCAGCATATCCAATCTTTGATAAATACAAAAATAATAATAAATATTATAGAAGATTGCTGAATTTAATTATTAATTAGGTATATTATTAAATTAGTAATGTTATGGGCTTTAAATGATACCCATGAGTGTGGGAAAATACAATATTAAATTAAATCAGGTACTTTATTTTATGTAATAGACTATACTAGGTACTATAGTCTCTAGTACGATGATTAAAAAAAAACAGCATTCATATTATAATTACCTTTGAAGTTATCAATATTATCGCCAGTATTCGAACACTAGGTAACTTTAATATGTCCCATAATAGTAAATAGTTTTGAACCACATTGACTTTCTCTTGATCATCTTCAAATGTATTATTTTTTTCTTTTTTGAATACGCCAATTAAGGTTGTGAGCAATATAAATATTATGCCCCAGCAGTATAATAAGTCTATACAAATTGAATAGTATGTTAATGTTATACACATTTAGTAAATAATATCATGTATTAATGTATTATACTTAGGTAGTTTAAAAACCATAAATTACCTATTATAATGGTGACTGTAAGTGAAGATTCAAAGAAACAGTCTGTTTAATACAATTGTATAAAATATAAGGAATTTTTAACTATAAAACAATTTGCAAGTGCTCATGATCTTGAAAAATTTCAAATTTATTTGGTTATTTTTTTCTGAATTACACAAAAAAACTGAACCGATTTAGTCGAATACTAGTATATTTATTATTATTCCCATATTTCCAACTATATATCATTAGCCCCTCCCCCAAGTAGGATATTTGTATTTTAGTATTTATTCGTGATTAAATAGTACAATTACCCCACCACAAATAGATAATAGAACATTTGTTTACAAAAACTTTCTTATAAGTTAAATATTGAATCAAATGTTTGGTTCCAAAACGTCTAGAATCATGGCAAATACAAAAGATAATAATATAAGGTATACTATATGTAAATTCGTAATTGTATAAGCAATACATTTCTCGCTCCACCCAGAATTTAAAAATTATTTTTCGTCTGTACGGAAGTAATCTTATATTCTTATGTACAATGTATTTACTAAACAAATATTCTTATATTATTGATCTTGATTCTATTTTTTTGTTTTGTTAAATATTAAATTGTTTCGTCATATTAATTAATAAACCACTATAAACAAACAAATTAAACATTATATCGCTCTTGCATATATTGTTAATTTTTAATTGATATTATTACTTATATTTTATATTTTATATTTTTTCTGCATACGTATTTGTAATTTAGTTTCTCCGTTTTGTTATATTTTAACTAAATTAGGTATAGGTACACGTGTGGTGTATAATAGGAAATTAATGAAAATTACTCTGAAGTTTTAAATTTTAATGAAACTACTATAGAATTAACAGTTAACCTTAACACAATAAAACGCTCACTTACTTTTCACAGAAACTATGCCTCCCACGTCAGGTACACTTCGTAAGTATTTATTACAAAAATCTTCAGACGTAAACAGTATGAGTACCATGGAACCCACCATAGAGCCTAATGTTTGTCCCGATGCATTGCAAGTGGACGCATAGCCTACGTTATTCCTGTAAACAAAAATGTCTGCGATAAACCATAGTCGACTACATATATTCATAATAATGATGTATTATAACACCCACTTTTTCAGCATTGTAAGAGCCCAACCGTCCACTGCTATATCCTGGGTGGCGGCTAAAAAGTTTATCATGAAGAAAATGTACGCCAGCATCGTGATGTCTGGTCTTCCAGTTTCGGGTAGCAAGTTCTCGATATCACTGGCCGTATAAATTAAAATCGCTCCTGTTAACAATATAATATGATTTACATAAAATTGAGTGACTTACAACATAAACCATTTTAGCCTATAAGAATTTATTAGAAAATACTAATTACCCACCTCATTATTTCAATGAAAGAAATTATAATTTTTCAGTTAATAGCACTATTAAAATGTCTACAAACTCATATTCATATACTTATAAACTTATTCAAAAACAGGCTTCTATAAATTTAAGCATTAGTGTCATGGCATTTTTTTAGATCGTAAGAATAATATTAATTTAACATGAATAATTTACCGATTAAATATTGAACGGGTATTAGCCAAGACTTTCGTCTTCCAAATTTTTGTACATAGAGTGCGTCTACTAACGGTGCCCATAAGAGTTTCAAGCTAAATGGCCATTTTGATATACTGTATAATGCCTGAAAAGAAACAATAAATTATCTGTTAAAATGACGAATTTTGTGATATACCATATAATAGACCCAAATCTAAAATGATTATGACTGTATTATTATTTATTGGTTTACCTGATCTTTATACGTCACATTATTCTTGCTTTGCAATAGTAATGACATAGACCCGGCTATACCTAACGGCAAACCTTGCATTGTGTACAGTAATAGTAACAAAAAAAAGTTTATCCAATCCCCTTTTAAATTTGTTTTGGTCATTGTTGCATCCTCCATCTCCTCAGATATCTCTGGTTCCACGCTGTGTCTTGGCGATGTTTTCATGTTTTTTCAGTGCTCAAAAAATAACCGTTCAGTGAGAAATGTATTATTGAACTACAATAATAATCATTATGCTATATTTTGAACACTAACATATGTGTTCGTTATATTATCCTTATCATAATATGTATGACCTACAGTATAATATTATCTACTCTAATCAACTATAATTTGCTGCAAATTAGTGGACAGTAGTATTACACATCACAAACAAATTAAAATTAGATGTTATAGCTTATACAGCCATAGCTTACACATAATAACATTATGTAAAACTCGATAGCTACTTAGTCTAGATCAGGAGTGCCCAACCCGCAGTCCACTATACAATTTAAGTATACATTTTTGAAATGAATAAAAAAAAAACAAGTGTAATAATAATATAGTGTATTAATATATTAATGTATTTAAATTATATAAAATTAAATTATTGTTGTAAAATTAAAACTAAAAAAGTAATAATATGTGAGGTAACACAAATATAAGTCCATCAGTCACATTAGGTACCTACCTATACAATTTTCGAGTAGAAAAAATTAAATCGTATTAACAGTATAAACTATTTTTTGACGTAAAAAAATATTACAATATTTACAAAATGTCTTTGTGAATATAAAGTGTATTAAATTGTCAAGAGCGATTATTATGATATAAAATATATATTATAATACCTATATAATATTATATATTATAATAATCGCTAAAACACTCATATTATGATGTAATGTATTCGAAGTTCATGCACCTTCAATTATTTAGATCCACCAGATTATATCAATAAACTATAATTCCAACATAATCAAATATACAATATTCGCTGATAAAGTAATATTATCATTAAGACTTGAATATTGTTGTCTTCACGTTTATTAGAACAATACGTCGAAATAATCAAAATGATTATAAAATATATTTTAACACGTCATGTACTTTGTACAATTGTATACATTAAATGATTAAACACATTTTACTAAACGCATTTTCTTAAACGAAAAAGCAAAATTTTAATCTCTGTTTTAGTACCTTAGTTTATTGGACATCTTAAATTATTAATTATTTCTGACTATGGCTCTATATATTTCGATCAAACATAATTTTGGTAGCGAAGTTCAAAGAAAGTTCATAGCTGGTATTGGAATTGGTATTGGATATTATTAGGGAACCCTACTGAGTTATTGACACATTTTATTTATTTTACTATTTTGTACAAAAATATATTATTTTGAACACATTTTAAAATGTATATACGTATATGATATATTTTCAAGTTAACGGCCAAGTCCATGCCCCGAGGGCAGTGATTAGTGGTTATGCAACGCCCAAAAATGTTTTCGCAGCCAGTTCGAATGCACAAAGAATCAATGATTTTGAAAAAAGTTTGTTTATTCTCAATAACAACGAAATGCAAAATATAGTTTATTACTGGATCCGTTTGGTATATTTTTCAGGTATACAAGGTACGTCTGACACTCGTCTGACAACGCCCAATATGATGTATACGTAATTTGAATTTTGAAGCAGTTATTAATAATTACTTTTACTTTTAGTATATTACTGATCCGAATACAAGGTCAAAATTCTTGTCACTGTCACTCGTCGCTAACGATATGTGTCTGTTTTAGCTGCCTGCACTATAACTTCGTGAATCGTGATCCGGATTTCTGACGGGTATTATTACTAGGAAAAGGATAGAAAGACGTTTTTTCTGGACCCCTCTGGCCTCTATTTTGATTTAATTATGCAGGGGTACGAGTGTCGTGTGAACTTTAATGAAAATTTGTGTGAGATGTAATGAATATTAAAAAAAATTCAAAAATTCAAAAATGTTAATTTTTCGAGTCTAGCGTGCCATGTGGCTCAGCACATGTATTTTATCTAATTTTGATTTTTTAGATGAAGGAATGTCGAGCGAATTTAGACTTGAAAATTTACTGAAATGGTAGGTAGGTGTATTTGAAATATACACAAAAAATGATTTTGAAAATATTATTATAAGACGTGTTAAACATAACGAGATATATTTTGTCATTAGCTCTGTTCATATATTATGTATTACATATTAGTATATTAAATTATATGTTAACCACAATAACTGTTATAAGTTTATAACATAACATCATCAACACGGGGTGCCACCATTAGGTGACTTCCCCCTCCCGCTAATCAACCCACATCACATTTACTCATTGTACTACATGTAATTACAGATTGTAAATACAATTTTTGTTCAATTAAAAAAAAGAAAAAAGCATCATCAACAATTTGAAGTACACACATATCGACCACAGGTTGAACTTTGTCGATGGGTCTTTAACAGCTTGAAACATCGCAAAATGGCTTATTTCAAGTAACTGGTGAGTCGTTAGTGATGACTTTAACGACTTGTCTATATGTAATATATTGTACTAGATACATAGGCGCAATTTGGGTTAAATTTATGGGGGTGCTAGATTTACATCGACTAAAGTGTTATGGGGACTTTGCCCCCACACTGCCACACCCCTCTCCATTCAAACAACTTAATTTTATACATTAATCTTAATACAAACAATTACCTATAACATAATACACTGATTTTACCCATATTATTATATTCTGATACCTATATGTATCATTATTATGAAAATGATAAAGTCTAAGAAATAAATGTATCCAAATACCTATGGCATAATTTTATAGTCAATAAAAATTCGATGATGCTATAAAAAATTTGGGGGTTATAATATTAATTTTGGGGATGCTAAGCACCCCTCCAAATTGCGCCTATGACTAGATGTATCATCTAAGAGATCTAGACATACACAAGACTTACCGTCTTATGAGTCTCAATGTCGCAAATATAATTGAATATTAAAAAATTTTTGTAAACATGGAATTTTCTCATAGTTTGTTAACAAATTACTAATTAATAATTTCTACATAGTGAATACGGATCTTGTAACTTTCAAATAAACTTATAATATATAATGTTTGTATACTTGAAAAAAAAAACGATTCAATTATAGGCTCTGAGGAAATCTTAACACGCATAGTTCAATGTAAAATAAGTTTTATGTCTTATGACCACGCAAGGAAAAAATGAATTAGACTAGATAGGTACCTACCATTACCTTTATTATATAATTAATTTTTTGAACTTTTATATTAAAGTATAAAATATAATACGAAAATGGGCCACAGTTATTGTTTACCTTTATACAATTACGTCAAAATAACAATCATAGACAACGGAAATGTTACTTCGCATTATAATAACTTGATGAAATCACTTGTACTTTGTAGTATAGAATAACTATAAAACTATATAATTATAATATGTACTAATAATTACCATAAAAATAATTGTTTATCACTTACTTTATAACCTTGACATATTAGATATTCATCGCCTTGGCTGTGTACACCTAGCTACCGAAGAACCAGAACCCGCTGAAGATAGAGTAAAAAAAGACTCCTATTATACATCTCTGCTGCGCCATAGCTCGTAAGTATAACGCGTATATTAAATCTTGTACAAATATCTTCTGTAAATTTGAATTGAACCGAAAAACTGTACCTAAACGTCGTTGATCTATTTTTCAAATTTTTTTTACAGCGAGTTTTGCATACTTAGCACTTTTTGCTTACTCTGCTAAAAATTCTATAGCTACTCGTACAACAGACTATGCCGCATCAACAGCAGCATAGGCCACCTCTCCCAGCTATGCCACCCATAGATACCTTTAAGATGGCGGAAAATACTTTTCCAGTAAATACAAAAATACCTACTTTCCAGCATACAAGACTGAAATTACCCAATTGCCTACCATAAGTACAAGGTAAAAATTTAATTTTTCCCCTCGAAGATAAATAAAACTTGTTTTACACAAGGCTGTGATCTACAGTTTTTGTTTCATATTCCTTTTTATAGTAAAATAATATTACATATTTTAAAAGTATATACACCATTTTTTAATATACATAAAATATAAATAGTACATATAATATATTTTTTTTTTTTTTAAATAATTGACTTTATTTGAAAAATTACAATTTATACAGTACATATATTGTACAATAAGGAATAATAATAATAATAATAATTTACAGATAGCTGACGGGTATATAAACACATGAGGAGGAAATCAAGCATTTGTGACACCTCTTAATCATATAATATTTATAAATGAATATACATTATATAATTATTATGCATACAATTTGTACTGCAACTATAATACATTTTATATAATATGTATATATCACGAATTAACAGCGTGAATGCGTGATATATGCACTATCTAATAATAATATTGCATTATTGTTTTAAAATTTTCCATATTTCTTTTAAGTTTTGCCATCGACACCATTCAAATAATAAGTTATCTCCATAAATTATAACAATGTTTCCGTTTAAGAAAAAAATAGAAAATTTAAATTTAATTATAAATTTCTATATAGGTAAGTCGTATGTAAGAAAAATAATAACAATAAAAATATGTACAATCAACATTTAAAAATAAATATAGTTATACATTGAAAATTATTATAACTCAACACATTATAAACTAATGGCATTACTTATTACATGGCTGGTTCAGTGTGAATGACGAATACTGTAATAATAAATACCTAATCTTATTATAATAAAATAACAATAAAAGTCAATCGTTCAGTATACTGTATATCGATAATTTGACAACTCAATATGTTATCTACCAATGAAGCTACAATATTATGTCAAAATGTATTACCTACATAATTAAGTCTATACATAACTTAATGTGTAAGCTGTAGGCTCTTAGTTGATTTTATTTTGATTTTAATGATTTGGTGCATCGCACCTACAGATTTTTATTTCAAAACAACTTTTAACAACATGTTTGACTTGAGTTTTCTGTATGTAGATGGGTTTTGAGACAAAATACAATATCGTTTGATTTTGTGAACATAGGTATATATAATTTATATCTTTAAATTCTACTAAATATAATAATGTATTGTCCCATCTTTTTGGACTTGTCAATACTACTTAAAAAAGACTTTTTAAACACAAACATCCTTTTCATATTCTTATCTACATGCACTATATTTGATTATTTTCGTCAATTTTATCTGATAGTTTATACATCATTTTTCATTACACCAATTATATGTATAGGTATCGTTGCATGACCTTGAGACATGAATAACTCTCATTGAGTTATGGTTATCGACATAATATCATAATCAAAATTCTATTTTAATCATAACGTAATAAAATATGTGATAAAGTAATACAAGTCTACTTCACCACCACAATGGGCTTATTTATTACAATATTTCGGAAGATGTTACTAATTTTTTAGGTAGATAATTTGTTTGTAGTTGTAATAAATGCTTTTTTTTTATATATTTTTTTATTAATTTAATCCGAGCCTTAGTGATACGTAATTGTTATTGTATGCGGATTACTAGAGATCCAGATAATGGAGGTTTTTCAAAAAATATTTGGAGACAATTTTAAGCAGTAAATAAAATAGTTTATTTCTATTTAATTTGAGCACAAATTATAAAAGTGTACACTTCGTGCCTGTGTGAGTGACGTGAATGTGCTCAGGTCTCAACGTCTATGGTTATCTCAATATTCTGGGCTCCCGGCTCCCTATAAGTGGTAGTCCCATTCCATTGTCCTGGACCGGAGCTCATGAAGTTGTGACAAAGGAATTTGTCCTCGTGAGGCTGTTGGAGTGAAAAGTTGTAATTTTCAACAAAATTCGAATGGCTGAGTTCACAGATTTCTCGGATTCGTGGAATTGTGACCATCCGATGTTGTTTTTGGCAATATCCCAAGATGCATAGGTACCATTATTATAATACTACCTAGTATGGCTTTTAGGAGTTCATAGCCGGTAACATAATAATATATTATAAACCAATACCTTTTACACACTATTAATAAAAAATAATGATTGAAGTTCAAATTTAAATGGCTGCTTGATTTACTTGGTTTAATTACTCGGCGAAGAACAAATTGGTGTGCAGAATAGGTAATACTATACTGTAAACATTGAATTGTGTTAAAACTGGTCGCTTGGAAAGTCAGCATTTAAAAAAAATAGTAGGTATTGAAAGAATTTAAGCATATTAATACTACCTACTTGGAACTATGGAAAAACCTTTAGAGGTGACCATACAAGATATTAGACTATAGTTAACTTGTATTTAATTAGGGATACCTAGATGTGAACTCATAGGCGTGATTTCGCTAAAATTCAGGTGGTGCAAAATTAATCAGGAAAGTTACAAACTTTCTACAAAATTGAAAAATACCGCTTAAAAATTTATTTACCACTTATTCAATTCCAGTTCCCCGATCAAAATTGTATACACAACTTAGTATTATCATTAATATGAAGTAAATACATTTTATTATATAAATTAAAATAATTAGTCAACACTGTAATTTATTACATTGATGTATTAAATATTAATACATATTAATTAACAAAATTAAATTAAACTTAAGCCTCTACCATGTACAGTTGTTGCTGCATTGAACTCGTCAATTACAATTTCAAAATCTATAACTCGATTTCTATCAATTTGTAAGTTGTAACATAGCTATATCAGACAGCCATTCTTGTCCCATATAGTTGTTCTGAATTAAGTTTTAAGCCTTCGTAATCAGGAAAAACTTCATTCTCAAGACGCAGTGTTTGTAGGTATTGTCATAAATAGTTTTAAAATGTCAGATAATAAAGGAAACCCATTTTTAATTTCACCTTGTTTCATATTATAATCTAATTTGTTTTGAAATACACTATTATTTGAGTTAGTTTATTTAGATTTGAACATTCTATTAAAGATTTTTAGTTCTACTTGAAGTTCATGATAATCAAACTTATAGGTCTTACAAATAATGTCTAATAATGTTAACATTATTTTATAAATATTTAAAAATTGGCAAAATTATACATTATAAGTATAGAAAATGTAAGGGGTGCAAAATGATAGTTTTGCACCCTCTCAATAATTCCAGGGGGTGCAAGTGCACCCCTTTGCACCCCCGAGATTACGCTTATGTGTGAACTAATAAAATGTTTATTAGGTCACATCTAGGTATCCCACAAATTTGTGAATAGTGATTATCATAATTTAACATCCGTTGTTAAATTAGATCAATTATCAACCATTATTATTAAATAATAATCAAACTAAATTATTTAAAACAACCGTTTATAGTTGAAGAAACAATGAAGAGTTGGAAATTGAAAACTGACTAAAAAAATAAAAATAATATAATAATATTATGATTAATGTTACAATCTTAATAGTTCTAAAATTTTTAGGAAAATTCACATAGAATAAACTATATTTTCGATAGGTTAGCTAAAAATTAAATTACAAGAATACAGATATAAGCTTGTACTAATAATTTAATCTACCTATTATATTTATGAGGTCACCTAGAAATTGTCAGGTCTGCCACGAGATATTGTCTGTTAATGGTTAGTAATATTTAGATACCTGTATGAACACTTAATAATAAATTATAATAATAAAATAATTATATTATGAAAACTATTATTATAATTTATAGATGAATCGTCTAACAGAAATTTTCGTGCAGGATTAATAATATATAAAGAGGGCAAGAAGATATTTTTTTTTTAAATTTAATAATATTATGTATATAATTTGTGTTAAAATATTACATTATTTAAAATTATTATCATAACTAACTAGTACTTGCAAATAAATGCAAGAATAAACATTTTTTTTGAAACGGGATCTGTTCACGATCAGTCAAAAATTCATTTCCCCTCTCAAAAAAGCTCATACCGCCTCTGGTATATAGGTAGTGAAAGTATAGCTGAGTGGATATTGAACAAACACGCAGAACGATTGGCCAATAGAACCATACAATACCGTCTATTTTTCACTCAAAATGCAATCGAAATATATCAGGTTACAGTAACGGTAAATACATTTTTTGTAATTGGTTGTTTAGCGTAGTTCACCAACCACTGAGATGGGCATTTCATTTGAAGATTTTTAAGAATATTTTTGAAAATACCATACCACAATATTCCGAAAATAGTACACAGTACCATTTCTATGTAATATCCGTTCACTGTTACAACACATTCACCTCCATCTGTTATACATCTCTAAAAAATTATGAATACGCATTATTATAATTTATATGTTTTGGTGTAATGAATATCCAAGGAGTAATATTTTCATTATTCATTGATGGACAATTTCAGAATAGGTAAGTAGGTAACTTACGTTTTGAAGGTCTGGTGAAGAACAATTATTCTTGGAATCAAATGAACATTCTTTGAACGTTAACAAATCAACAATTCCAAGTACCGTTAAAGATGACCATGCGTTTCCCAAATTTGAGAGGGTATTCAATAATGTCATGTAAGTACCACCAAAACGAGGGTCGCTTATTTTAGAGTAAAAAGCTAATAAAGCCACAAACATGGTATAATTTAGAATCTAAAAAAAAAAAAAAACAATAGAATTGATGAGAATAAATTTAAATAAAAGTGGCTTTGAAAGCTGATCATTTTTTCGTTGATGTAAAAAACTAATTAATTAATAACAACTATAAGTGAGGGAAAAGCATTCCAGAAGTCCATATAATAGAATTTTTATAAATATTTGAATTCTGTACCATATTTTTTATTTTTTGTTGGAAAACCTAATGTCAATTTTATTTCAGTAATATTACAGTACCTACCTATGTGTATTTTGAAAAAAAAAAAATTAATTCGGTACTATACTTGATTAACTATTTAATCTAGGTATTGAAAATTAATTTACTAAAAAACCTATTAAAGAGAACCAGCAATCGGATTTGTTTTCAAAATTCAAATAAGACTTTTGGTACTGGGTGAATTTTTCTTCCACTATTTTCTATTTGGTCCTTTCATACTCGACCTGAATTTGAAATTGTTTGATAGTAGGTACAATATAACTACCTGTCACTCACACTTATGATCAGTTATTACATCCACACAAATTCATACAGGACTTCCACATGGATATAGAATATTGGCTAGATTTTAATATAGGTTATGTTATACAGTGTACCCTTTAATTAGGATTTACACTTTAAAAAAGTGATAAATTTAAAATATATTTTAAATCAAACTTTACTGCATTATAAGATAATCGTAAGAAGTAACTTACCTCCTGTATTGATAATATAATTACTAATATCACGTAGTAATAAATTGGAATGTTTATTTGTCCATTAATATTTATCAATTTTGGTGTATAATATATTAGCATAATAAATGCAATGTTCCAAAGTAATCTGAAAAAAGTGTACATTTTAAAATATTTCTACATTCTACATAGTTTAAGTTAACTAAAAAATTATTTTTTAGTATTGTGTATTCTTTAAGAAATAAAAAACATATTTTAAAAACTGAAACCTATTGAAAATAATCTAATAATATGATTTAGATTGACATCTCGTTGATTTAGTAATAAAGAATCTTCAAGTAAAATAATATGATACTGTAGAATTAAACAATTTGATATTATTTATTTTATGTCCCAATTCTACAATAATATAATTATTTTAAGAATAAAAATAATGAAAACATTGTAAATATACAGAAATAATTAATTGTGTAGGTAACAGCTGATATTTTATGTGCTAACTTATTATGGTACCAATACATTATATTGTTCTTATTAAATAAATTGTATTTACTTAATCAGAGTAGCTTTTAAGTATATACTCATCGGTTTTGGACCTGAAGTATATCTTGCAATAACGAGAGGTAAAATAATTTTTGCTAAAATTATTGATGTATTTATTAACATCATGTCGTCTTTTGATACACCAGCGTCAATCAGTTTTAAAGGTGACACACTGTCGGTTGCAGCAAATCCAACCTTTCATACGAACAAAAAAATATATGGGCTTAAATTAATACAAAAATACATTATCTATGTATTTAAAAATACATATTTTATGATAATGTAACATTTATAACTTTATTCTAAATGCATGAGTAAAATAATATTCAATATAGTATTGAGGTATAAGAAAAGTAAATATATCAATGATTGAAATATAGCTTAACAATTAACAGTAAATTTTGTTATTTTCGAAAAAATGTAAGACAGGTATAAAACAGGTGTACAACAAGTATACCAGGGTGGTTCACCAAGCATGCTCGCTCACTTTTTCTTCTTTAATAATGTAAATATTCATAAATTGATTTTTAGAATTTTAAAATTTAAGTACCTACTTAAAGATCATATTTTCAAATAAAAATTTGTATCACCTCTATATATAATTAAAAATTCGGAAAAACAGATTCTGAAAAAAGGGGGTCCATATTTGTTGAATCAACCTGTATAAATCTAGACCACCCTAACCTCTTGTAAAATATTATTATTACTTTATTAGAACATTATTTAAACGTATTTATCACAAAATAACATAATTTTAACTATGATTATTTACCTTCACTGTCAACAATGCCATCGCAAATATCTGTATACTGGGTAGTTTGCAAATGTCCCATAGTAGACGATAGTTTTGAAAAGTGTCGAGCTCTACATGGTCATCTTCTAATGAACAATCCTTTTCACTTTTGAATATAGCAATCAACGTCGTGATAAACATAAATATAATGCCCCAAACGTATAATAATTCTATACAAATGTAATAATACCATATATTTGTGTGTACTTTAAATATAATGGCATAGTGCATTAATTCATAATGCTATAGTTTCAGCCACCGATTGATAGATTTTTCAACGACTCACGTTCCATGGTAACTATTCCTTCCGTCTCAGGCTTAGCCCTCACGTATTTGTTGCAAAAGTCTTTAGACGTCAACAGGGTGAACCACACAGAACCTATCATCGAGCCGATCGCCAATCCCGTTGTATTGCACATGGACGCATATCCCACATTATTCCTGTGTAAATATATTAGAGGGTTGATTAAAACGCGAAGGGGTCTTATACATACGCAATTAGAAACTAATGACACCTACTTTTTCAACATTGTAAGTGCCCAACCGTCAACAATTATGTCTTGCGTGGCCACCAAGAAGGTAGCGACGAAAAACACGTACACTAGTTTCCCTATGTTCGGTTTTCCCGTTTCGGGCAGCAAGTCATTGATGTCATTGGCTATGTAAAGGAAGAATGATCCTGTTTGAAAAGAATGCAATATGGTTTTGTTAAATGCACAAAAAGAAAAAAAACTTTTAAAAACTGGTGAATTTCACATACATTGGTTGTAACAGATATTATGATGTTACAGAAATAATATAATTTACATACCCATTATATATTGCACCGGTATGAGCCAAGACTTTCGCCTTCCTATCCTTTTTAGGTATATTGCGTCTACTAAAGGAGCCCACAAGAGTTTCAAAGTGTATGGCCACATCACTAAACTAAAAACAGCCTATACGAAGAAACAAAACTTGTTAATTTTAATGCATCTACATTGCAGAACAGTATTAATAATTCAGTACAAATAATTTTTTTGTCGTTGCACTTGATTTACCTGATCTTGATAAGTAACATTTTTATTACTTTGCAAAAGTATCGGTATAGCACTAGTTAAGCCTAATTGCAACCCTTGTAATGTATATAGTAATAACAGTATGAAAATGTTCAACCAATCTCCATTTAAATTGGGCTTGTCCGAAATTGAAATGTTTGTCACAGCATATTTGTTTGGTTTGTTTCCAAGTCTTGTTGATGTTGTCATGTTTGATGGACGTGATTCACGTTAATTTAAAATAAGTGGCCGAAAACGGTGAATAGGTAACGTATTAGTATCTGTCGGTGCAGTTGACATACTAAAGAAAAATTAATAAAGTATTTCACTATAATCTAATCACACATTTCTGACCCATATGATCGGAATTGTACTTCAGAAATGTTTTCAACGTTGGTAAGGCAGTCACTGCTATACACATAACTTAAATCATTCGAGATTGGATTATATAATACTATTATGTACTTTGGTATTAAATTAAAATTGTAGTTTATTGGAAAATATGGTACCTATAGGTATATTATATTTAATTTTGTAATAATGTTTAAATGTTAGGTACCTATACACAATAATTCGCAAACTGTATGAACACATTTATGTATAAGAAATTTAAATACAAGTGAGTTTGAACCACTTTTTAAATTTTAAGTATAAAATAGTGGTTTATAATAAATGATAGGAGATTTTAATTGTAATGAAAAAATACATTTACAATTATATTATATTATTTACTATATAGATGAATAATTTATAAATATAAATACACAGTAGGTATTATTTATTACTAATAAAGGATATACACATGATAAAACCAAACAAATATATTATTTAGGATACTTTCGATTATTTAAGAATTCATTCAATATGTAATTAAGTTTATTTTGAATGTTGAGCACGTTAAAAATATGACCATGGCCGATAATGCGCATGCACATTTATAATTTCGTTAAAAATATTTAAAGGTTACATTGTTTAATCATTTCAATAATTATTACAAACTCGACACATTAGAGATTAATTAAACGGAATTCCGTCAAAATTGTTTTGTTGAGTTTACGGCAGTGATAAATAGGTACATTTCGTATTCAGAACGTACTTTATAGTAAAAATATGTGTAAGGTATACATATTCATATTTTATCATAAATTATAAATCAGAATATGTACAATATAATAATAATTATAATAGGTAATAATAATAATAATAATAATAATAATACAATAGGTAAATCAATAAATGTTTATTTATAAATATTTCTACCTAAAACGGCTGAAACCTATGTCACGTGTCACTATGTACATAGTAGGTAAACATAACTAAAAATAATTATTTTAAACTTTGATTTACAAACTTAAAAATAACAAATAACAAATTTTACATAGGTAATTTTTACTGTTTTATATGATTTTCAAAACCACATTAAAATCGATTTATTTTTCAAAATACTAAAATTAACCATACAAATTAGTATTCTAGTTGTTAAAAAATTACGTTTTTACATTCATGGTGTAAGCATTCTTGTCATTTTCAAATTCTTGAATTTTCGAATTAATTTGCCAATGAGTTGGACTCTTACTTTGCAAGCGTTTGAGTATATTTTTAAAAATAAAATACCAGATGGTTCCAACAATGGTAAAAGCAATAGATTCTACGTAATATCCATTAACTATTACTATACAATCACCTCCTTTTAATTTACACATCTAAATAAAATAATAAAATAATCAAACATAAAATTAAAATGTATTTTACTAATTGTTAGTTTACTAAATAATTACAAATTGTATTATGGACAGCTGCTTACATTTTGAAGATTTAAAGTAGAACAATTATTCTTTGAATCAAACGAGCATTCCTTGAACGTTAAAACATCTATCAATCCAATTGCAGCAGATTTTGACCATAGAGTTCCTAGATTTGAAAGGGTGTTCAATAATGTCATGTAAGTACCGCCAAAACGAGTATCGCTTATCCGATAGTAAAAAGCTACCAAAGCTACTGACATAATGTTAAATTGGATCTAAAAAAAAAATAATATATATTCACCTTACTTTGTTTCAACTTTTTCTTAAAAAAATTGTTCACCACGCTAATTTATCAATTAAGATTTATTTAAAAATTAAATTCAAGTTACTCACATCGTGGATCGTTTGTATAGTTAATAATATCGCATAGTAATACATTGGAATATCCATGACACCGTTATTCCTTATAAACTCTGGCGTATAATAAATTAGTAACATAAATAAAAAGTTGCAAAGTAATCTGAAATAAATAAATATAATTTTACATGGTATTAACACCTATACAATTGTGTTAATTAAGGAAGTATTCATGAAATGATACCCTATATAAATAATAAGTAATAAGTAATTATGAGATACGAAACAAAATTATATAAAAATTAATGTAATTTTATATTCCATACTTCAATTACAGAAACGATTAAATTAACTTATTTATATTACGATTGGATTCATTAAAGTGCAATGACCAAAATGACACAATTTTATTTATAAAAATAAATCCTATTGGTGGTTTATTTTACACTAAAATACTTAAAAAGTTGTTTTAAATTTTTATATATAGTATGTAGAGTCTATAAAAGATTACCTACAACCAAAAAACAATACCTATATCTATTATTATATGTATAAATCTCTAGAATTTCAACAAAATTAACACTTCAAATTACTATTGATTATGGAACATATTTGTTTGTAGAAAAATACAAAAATTCATAATTATTCCAAAGTTATAGATTTTGTTTTTTTTAAATTTACCTAAAATTCTAAGTGTTTAGAGTGAAAATTTGAATGGAGTCAATAGGTAATTAATATTTAAATTTGAATACCTGATGGGTGTCAAGTTTAGGTATATGCTCATCGGTTTTGGACCTGATGTGTATTTTACTGCAATCACTGGTATAATAATTTTTATAACATACATTCCTGTCTGTATGATCATAATGTTGTCTTTTGGTACTCCAGCATCTATGAGTTTCAAGACCACCACTCTGTCAGTCGCAAATCCAATCTTAAATAATCAATATAATATATTTAGGCAATAAATTATGTCATAGGCACCAATATCCAATAGTTATAGGTAGTGAAAATAAAAAAAAAAAAGTTTTATTTAATTAGTGGAAAAGGAATAATTTGCCGTAATTATTAAAGTTATTTTATCGGAATCAGAAAAAGAGTTGGGAAATGTTAAAGCGAATGTTTCTTGAAAAGTTTTATTTTATGATACATACATTTTTTTTATTTTATTTATAAACAATTTTATATGATTTTTATTTTTTAAGGACAAAAACGACAATATTATATAGAAATATATCGGAATATCTGAAAATAAGTACCTATTTAGTTGATAAGTTCATAAAAACGGAAACGTTGTTCCTACGTATTTCTGTGCTCACTCGTATAGTACAGTTGAATATCGATAAGTCGAAAACCTTAATAATAGTTGAAATAAATTCCATTGCCTTGCCTGACCTAACCTTAGTAAGTCAAAAACTTGAAAATCTTGTCAAGTCGAAAAAATTTAATTTCCCTTGAATTTCGACGTATCAAAATTCCACTGTATTTTGATTTTTTTTTGGATTTCTATTGTTTGATTGCATCTGTGCTCAATTGGGTCTTGAAAAAGGTAAACTATACTCAATCGGGCTGAAAGCTCTCTCAATAGACAGGACAACTAACAAAAATACATTTCGGATGGAAATCGTAATCGACCTTTTTCGTTGTTTGCAGAAACGGGCAATGGATAAGTAAGCGAACAGGTTTCGAGCGGAGAAGAGCTATGAATTATCCGGTCATTTGTTGAATAGAATATTAGGTAAGGAAAAATTAAATTTTGCGTTCATTTTATTCATACTTACCATCATTGTCAACAATGCTATTGCCAATATCTTAATACTGGGTAAGTTTAAAATGTCCCACAAGAGCTTATAGTTTTGAAATGTAGTAAGCTTAATGTGATTATCCTCTAATCTATTATCTTTTTCATTTTTAAAAATGGCAATTAATGTCGTAATTGCCATAAATAAAGTGCCCCAAATCAAAAATAAACCTGTAAAAAGTATATGATATACATTTAATAATTACATAATATTTTAAGTGTCTTATGAATTTAGTTCCAAAGAACATCATTGTAATATAAATACAATATGCTTCTCTCCTCATGTAATTTAAAATGAAAACAATGGCACAGTGGCGTAGTTGTGAAACTTTTTTTATTTTTTTTTTGGGGGGGGGATTAAATAAATATAGTGATAACTAGAGTTAGGATGTTAATGACTTTTGCATTTTTTTCCTTTTATTCTGTACAATGCTATCCTAGCTAAAAATTTGTTTCATGCTCCCTTGATGCAGAATAATCTAATTTTATTTTGCATTTTTTTTGTTTTTTAACGTTTTTCAACATTTTCAAGTCATTTTTTCATCTTTTAGGGCTTTTTTGCATTTTTTTAGGTCATTTTTGTGTGTTTTTTAGGTCATCAACATCCTAACTCTAGTGATAACGGATAATATAATATTATGTGGTATGAATTGAATCAATTCAATCAGAAGATAACTCCTAACTATTTTTAGTCCTCAACTTCAAACTTCAGTTATTAAATTTGTATGGATTTGTATTTGATAAGGATTAAGAACTAGAAATCATTCCTGGTTACGATTAAATATATCTTTAACAGGTAATTCCAATCTTATTTAGTATATTCTATCAAAATAATGTTAATATGTTATCCTAAAAAGATTTTAGCTAGTTGTTAATTTTTTTTTTGCAGACTTACTTTTCACGGTCACTATTCCTCCAACATTATGCGTTATCCTTAAATATTTATTGCTAAAGTCTTCTGACGTAAACAGAATGAAAGATACGCCACTTATCATTATACCCATTATTTGACCCATTGAAGCGCAAGTAGATGCATAGCCTACATTTTTTCTATATAGAACCATAATAAAACACACATATATATTATATATAAACAATTTTGTATCATATAACTAATTTAACAATAATTTGCAATATAGTATACGTAGGTAGGTAACCGAAAATAAAAACACAAACTTTTGTAGCAAAGTCAATGCCCAACCATCAACTACTATATCTTGGGTGGCGGCCATGAAGGTAGATATGAAAAACACAAATACTAGTTTAAGTATGTTTGGTTTTCCCGTTTTGGGCAACAAGTCATTGATATCGTTAGCCATATAAAAAAAGCATATTCCTATACAACACAAATCACTGTTAAAACTAAAAAAGTAATTTATTTCAATGTTTTGACTTCTAGTTCAACTATAAGGAAATCACCGACTATTGGGTATTTTTAACCTCAGGATGCTATTCAGCTCATCCTTAGGCAAAAGTGGGCATTAACTAGTTAAAAAGTTAAAGTTAAGTTAAAAAGTTAATTTTTATGTTTTTAATTTTTTAACTTGTTTAGTTAAAATATTTATTGTTGTTACTTAACTTTTCATAGTTAATTATTATTGTTGTGCAGTTAAGTTAATTTTCTTTTTGTGTCATGTGGAACCAACTATAGACAATACTGATTATATGACTCTTTTTTCGATTTTGGTATTTTTTTTATAATTATGTATTATAAATTATAATTATCTAATTTTTTACATAGTATTGAAACGAATAATAAATGATTGTATAAATCAAAAAACTAGGGCAGTTTATGACTTAGAAATATTGTAACTTGAAAAAATAATTTTTTTTTTACTGAGCTAAGTTAAGTTTATTTTCTATCTCAACATTAAACTTATCTAGTTAAATTTTATTCTGGTTAACTATTAACTTAACTGAAGGCAATTTAATTTAATTAACTTGCCATACTTAATTATTTTCATTAACTTGCCCACCTCTGTCTTTAGTGTTATTTATGATTCATAGAAATTATAATCAACGATAACGATTATTCCAAGGTACAATTTAAGACACACTGATACCGATTCAATATTTTTGGGTCGAAAATATGTAGTAAAGAAAGTAAAATGTACATACCCATTAAAAACTGAACTGGAATGAGCCATGACTTACGCCTTCCAATTTTTTGTATGTAGAGTGCATCTACCAAAGGAGCCCATAATAGTTTTAAGCAGAATGGCCACCCAACTATGCTAAATAAAGCCTAAAACAAACATATAGCAACATTTTGATGGACATAAAGTAATTTAAGTACATTTGAGATTAAAATGTCAAATACATTTACCTGTTCTTTGTAAGTTACATTTTGTGTACTTTGCAAAAGTATTGGAGTAACTGTGACTATGCCTAAAGGAATGCCTTGCATTACGTAAAGCAACAACAATAGAAAAATATTAGGCCAATCTCCTTTTAAATTTGATTTGACCAACATTGATTCTTTTGTCACTGTTGATTTTGTTGGTTTAATCTTTTTGGGTTGGTAATGTCATACTTATTCAGTAGTTTGAATGTATGTAATAATTACTATAAAATGGTTACATATTTGTACACATCACAGGTCTTCATGAACTAAGGCAAAATCTGCCTTAGATTTTGACCTATCACCTACATTATATTATATTACTTATCATAATGAAAATCGTACCTATGTATTAATATGTGTTATAATTATTTTGACTATTTTATTCATGATTAGATTATTTATCTTATAAATAAAACTTGTGTTCCTACTTCCTACATTTGAAATAAAAATCATCGAACATTACATAAATATTTATTAGTGAACACTGAACAGTTCACAATCTATTTGTATCAATAACGGCATTTAGCGAACAAAAGAGAAAGCGAATCTACGAGTCAGATTTTATTATTTGATAACCCGCGTATGACTGTGTGGTATGTACAAATTGTATGTTTTAAACATGGTTTAGTTAATTAAGTTATAAATAATAACAGATAAACGAGTGATGGATAATTCTAACTAGTATTCTCAATAAAAATTGATATAGGTAGTGGCCAATTTCGTTTATTTATATTTCTGTAATTATTTTGCTTTCTAGCAATATTTTAGAAAAAATTGAAGAAGTGTACTCGCTAAGCAGCTGAACAATAATGTAAGTAAGCAGCAGAATTCGGGAGCGGAATATAATATATTAACATGAAAAACCCGTAAATAGTAGGTATATAATATATAGTATATACAGCATACATTTATGTATAATATTGTATATTCAATGATATAAAAATAATTTTTGCATAATTTGTCTGCAACACAGGGAATTTTCGGGATTCTTTGGCTCGTGGAAAACGAACAATTTGTAATCGCCAAGGGTTACATAAAATAAAGTAGTTATGATAATTGTATTTAATTTTAGATATGTATTTTATACTTGCCATTCGATCAAAAAGGACTGTGTTAAAAATATCTATAGTCTACATTCTAGTTTTAACGGAGTCTAAGATAGGGTAAAATCGTAAGTCCACTGGCATTATTTAATTTGGCACAGACAACGCGACGGCCGTGCAGGATTAGCTAGACTAAGTAATATATATAATTATTTTGTAATAATAAATGAATAAGATATGTAATTACCAATTACTATAAGTACTACTTGATTCAATACTGCAGAGTTTATGTTTAGTAATCTACATAAATAATGTTACATAAATTGTAATGCAATTTATATGCAAAAAATATACAAAAATCTGAAATTTTAATTTTTAAAACTTAATTACGAAAATTACACCACAGAATATATATTATATTGAAAGATAAAGTCAATAAATTTTCTAGATTTTTAAAATATTCATATAAATACTTATATAATATTTAATGAAGAATAATTGTCATCAAATCCATATACCTACCTTTTTGGTTGATTCATTTAAGATTTGATAAAATATAATAATAACAAAAATCAATATTATTAAGTATTAGGTAACGTGTTTATTACAATATTTTGGGTAACTTATTCAAAATATATGAAAATAATCTTTCTTAAATTATATGTTTGATGTTACTGAATTAACGCCTTGGCATTTACTTGGAACAAGGATCAACAGAATCTTCGACTTTTTCTTCACTTGGTCGATTAACATACACCATCCAATATGAAGAACTTTTAGTTTGAAAATTTTTTAACATATTTCTAAACAACCCGTACCAAATGAAGCCGATGACTACACATATGATGATTTCTACATAGTACCCATCCACAGTTGTAAGGCAATTGCCACCATTTTTATCACACACCTATGCAAATTAAATCCATATTTCAATATCCATATTTGTAATATTATAATAGTAGGTACAATATAATATTCATAGTAAAAACAACTTATAACGATCAAATTAAACGATTGAAACTAAACAAAAATGAAATTAATTATACGGTCTATAGGTCGTCATTGTGCGCGCAATGTAAGATAGTACCTACAACATAATATTGATTCAAATAACCACCTCTTAATATTCCATGATAACATTACGTCGTTATAAACCGCTTTTGCTGAATATATTACAACTTATGGGAATTAAAAATTTATCTTTTAGCTATTATTATTAATTACACGTACTCAATAAGTGCATAATCTAAATAATTTTATAGATATAGTATAAAAATTAAATAACTTAAATATATTTAAATTATTAATGTCTTACTTTTTTTAAATTCACTGTTGAACAATTATTCTTGTAATCGTTTGAGCACTGTTTAAACGTTAAAAAGTCCATACATTTTAGTCCTATAGATGTCGAATATGTCATCCCAAAATTTGATACTGTGCTCAACAACGTCATGTATGTTCCACCAAACCTAGGGTCACTTATCCGAGAGAAAAATGATGTTATGGCTACTAGCATTATGTAGGAGAGTGCCTATAAATATACACGTTTAAGAAACAAATATTAAATTACAATTTAATATGAATTCATATGTCATTTTTAAATTGTGAACTCTTTACCATTGTTTAAACAACTTATAATAATTACAATCATTTTCATTGAATTGAAAACGCAAAAGTTGGTAGACGCCTATTTTTAAACGAGTTGCAAGGATTTGGTCTCAGTAATAATGAGTAGAAAATTGCTACTTTTTAAGCTATAATTTCATCTTATTTCAAGTTATACAGATACAGATACAGAATTCAGATTATCACCTTTTGTGGAACGAGTATTTTATAGTTTTATTTTAACTATAGAGGAAATCACAAAAACATTACAAATTATTATTATATTGTTTTTTTATAGACGAATAAGACAACAAGACATAATTTGGGCCAAATTAGTTTTTGATTGCATATTATTAAGAAAAAAAAACTGTATCGTTTGGTGCAATAATCAGACCAATCAGATTTTCATATAAATCATATAAATTGATATTTCTGTTTTTTATTTTAGTGGAAAAACCAGACATCTCCAAATTTTATAAAATTATAAATGTTGATGCCTGGTTTTGATTTTAGTGTACCGGACACCGGAGATGCCTTGTTGTTGCACTAAAATGGTTTATTCATCACGAATATGTGATATACATATATAGTATATTTTATAACTATTATTTATTAATTATTTCTAGTGCAACAACAAGACATCTCCGAGTTTTATTTTATGGTTTTGAGATCATATATTTCGAAATACGTACACACAATAAGTTAAACCTTTAGAAATTATTTAAAAAAAACTAAAATCTATTATTTTGATATTACATTTGAATACAATAAATTAATAAAATAAAAAGTTGTAGCTAGTCTTTTTTTCAATTTAATAAAATTTATGCTACCTATCTTTTAAATTCTTGACTTGACAACTCGATATTAGTTTTATATTTGATCTTAAATAATATTGTAAGTGCATACTTTTATAGTTTTATATATCTAATTTTCTATGTAGGTACAAGGTACATATCTTTATAATTTTGACAAAATCTAGTAATCAATAGAGATTATAATATGTATATTATACTATGTTTAGTACGACATAAGTTTCATAAGTATAGTTTATCAACTTACTTCACTTATTGCGTTTAGAAGTCCTAAAATCAAATAATAATATATTGGTACATTTAATACTCCATTAGTATATATAATCATTGGCGTAAAATAAATAAAACCAATGTGTGTAAGACTCCAAATTAGTCTGAAACAAACAATTTTTAAACATGAAAATGTAGAAATAATAAATTATTATATTAATATCATGTATTCATGGTATTACTTTTTAATATCCTAAGGGACTAATTAACATTATAATATGTATATTGTATATATGTATATGGTATATATTATATATTTATATTAAATTTTAGATATTCATCGCCAAAGAAAAAGTTACAAAGTAAAAGTGGTTCAGGCAGTACTTACAATTCGTAAATTCGTTTGAGGCATGTTATAAAAACATATTTTTATTGAAGCTAATAACCTAGTAGTTGATGCTGTACCATTAATAATAATTTAAAAAAACATATAACAATTGATTTTAGGTTTGTTTTTTACTTTATTAATAATTTATATTTCAGTTATTAGGATATATTATATCGTAATATCAAACACAACTGCAGGGCTTACATTTGAAAAAAAAAATTCAGTTTTATGATATTTACAATTAAAACGTTACACAATTTTTGCGTTTATTGTTGTTTAGAATTAAGACGTTATACGAGTTTTGCGTTTATCGTTATTTAGAATAGTGTTAATAATTATTAATGTGGATAAATAATGGCCCGGATACGGAATATAATATAATAAATTCAAGGTATATCAATACACCTTGAGTCAATTATAATGTCCGTATGCATGAATAACTATTTCTACGAAACCAATAAGACTTTTAAATAAATTAATTTAATTATTTGTTTTTTTTTATTTTTCGTTCAATTACGTTTTGCGTTATATTTTGTTTATCGTTATGGTTTTTTTTTTTTTTTGTGGTATTTAATTATTTTTGGTTACCTATTGCTTTCCGTTATAATTACGTTTATAAAAATTTCAATCTTATTTTTGTCAAATATTAAGTTATAATCACAACGTTATTGTAACGACTGCAAGCCCTTATGAGTTATGTTACATAAGTCTAAATTTCTATCTACCTATGATATTATATCAAACTAATTTAAATGCATGTTTATGGAATTCATTGAATATTGTATAATGGGATAGGTATGTTAAATAGTTTTATTTCCACATATAATAAATATTATAATACAAGTAGAAAATAAACTATACGCCGGTTGGGTAGAATTTATAAATTTTAAATATTATATTTTATTATATTGTATTATAACAGTCTACTTGATCGACATCGATTTTAAACACACACTCATCGGCTTTGGACCCGAAGTATACTTGGATACAGCAAATGGTGTTAAAATTTTCACTGCAAACATTGCTGTATTGAGTACCATTATATCATCTTTTGGTACACCAGCATCAACGAGTTTCAAATAAAGTAAAGAAATCCTCATTGCAGAAAATCCAACCTGATATGAACAATACAATACAATTTAATTTTTAACTCATGTACAATATTAGCATATTAAAAAACTTAATTTCTCAAATTTAAATACCATGTAGGTATCCACTCAGTTATTTCTAATTTTTTTTTTTTAATACAGTTATTACCTAATTACCTTCATTGTTAATAATGCTATTAATAATGCACGAATATTAGGTAGTTTTAAAATGTCCCAAAGTAGCTTATAACAATTAGTAATGTGAAGCTCCTCATATTTATCTTCCAATTTAGACAATCTAGTATCATTTTCTTTTTTAAATATGCCAATTAAAGTTGCTACTAATATGAATAAAACGCCACAAATGAATAATAATCCTATATAAATAAAAAAAAAACATAATATAATATTATATCTAGTGCCTATAGCAAAATTACATATTATAGGTTTTTTGTACATAAATTATAAACTATATAATATTATATAATTATTGTTTTTCGACAGAAAACAAAAAAAGGTGGACAAGTGAGTACAACTATGCCTTACAGTAGTTATCGGTTTTGAGAAAGGTGGATAAACCTGTTTGGGAATTTTCTAGTAAAATTTTTGAGCATGGACCAATTGCGCCTAAAATAAAGTTTTTGTTTATGGTCAATATACCAATCGCTCTTGTATTCAAGTGTATTTAAGTTTAAATATGAATTATAATGTAACTGGTAAAATTTTAATTTTGATTAATTGGCAATCAAAAAGTTTGAAAATTGCGTATTTCGAACTCCATAAAAACTGTCCACCACCGATCCACTTAATATAATATTATACAATTTACAACCAGTTTTAAGCCTATAATAAGTAGGATTTTTTTTTTACACATTAGGTACTTACTTACTTTCGAGAGTCATAATACCTCCCATGCTGGGTGTATTTCGTAAATATTTGTTATAGAAGTCTTCGGATGTAAGCAGGACAGGAAACACGGAACCTAACATAACGCCAATTGCAAAACCCGAAGAACTGCACACAGACGAATAACCCAAATTGGCTCTGTTAAAAACAATGTTCACTGTAGTTAATAATGTGTTTTTAGAGTTGTTTTCATAATGTCAAAATAATAATTATTTTATTCACTTTTTCAGCATCGTCAGTGCCCAACTGTCGACAACTATGTTCTGCGTTGAAGCCAACAGATTGAGGACGAAGAACACGCACGTTAGCATTACTATGTTAGGTTTACCTGTTTCAGGAATCCAGTCATTGATGTTATTCGCCGCATAAAGTAAACAAATTCCTGCTCATTTATGATGGAAAAAAATCGTGAACAATAATAATTATATTATTAATTTAAGTATAGAATTATAGTAGGTAATATTGAAATGATGAATGATTACCCATTAAGTATTGAACTGGCAGGAGCCAAGATTTTCGTTTTCCTATCCATTGTACATAATGAACGTCTACTAACGGAGCCCAAAATAGTTTCAGGCTATGGGGCCATAGTACGTAACTAAACAATGCCTAAATCACAACGTATAATATATAATATAGGTAGGTATATCAAATTAAACAGTTGGTTATTTTATGAAATTGTGAGACTACGCTCTCGCTAAACCTGTCTCGTGATATTTTCTTGTTGCAAATAAGTAGTTAAATATTTGGCAGTAATAGGACTAATATGTACACTTAAAAATATTATCGAATGATAGTTTATAAGAAAATGCTAATACTTTTATCAAGTTGAGTAATTCAAAACTGTTTTGAATTTACTAATGGTTCAAAAATGACAGCCTACAGGGTGTATTATATTATAATATTTAGGTATATGAGAAGCAATTAAAAAAAATATTCCAATCGGAG